AGCTTTAGCTCTGCCTGTCTGTTTTTCCCCCTCGGGGTGGTTTGAGTTTGTTTTTGTTTCATTTTTTATGACTAAAATAAAGTACCATTTCTCCAGCGATTGAGTCCTCGCTTCATCTCCCCGCACGCACCGTGACAAATTCCCAATAATTTTATTTTATTTTACTAACACACATTTAAAAATAAATTTTGTTTCTTTTTGAATATTTTGTTTCTTTATTCATTTATGTAACTTTTTGTTTTTTTTATTTCACAAAACAAATTTGTGACAATTTGAATCAAAAATTAGTAAATCAAGTTAAACTTTTAGTCTGTAATATTTTATAGGTGCAGTCAGCATTTCTTCTAATTAAATTCCCATTTATTAATTTCACCCTGTTTATTTCATTTTATTCTATTCAATTCAAAACAACAATTTCCTTTTGAATATATTTATTTATTTATGAATTCATTTACATTACATACATACCATAACACATTGTTTTTTTCTCTCACACAGGTAATGCGTGCCTGATTATGTGTACATTAATGAGGAAAAAAATGAACTTAAATGATTTTAGCAAATGGCTGCAATATTACAAAGATTGAAAAATTTAAGGGGGTCTGAATACTTTCCGTACCCACTGTATATAATATATAATGTAATGTATAATGTAATAAGATATAATAAATTATTTATTTTTAATTTATTTATATTTTATATGTATTTTTTACTTCAATAATTGTATATATATATAATTAAATAGATTTTCCACAAGCTATTACTAGTTATTACTAACATAAGTACCACTGACCAGGCTAGACTCGTTCTCCAATGTTAATTCTCTGGCAAATATCCTTGAGGAAGGTGTACAAACAGTGCGGCATTTGAATAGAAGAGAGTTCATTCTGGAAGCCCAGGCTTAATAGTGTCTGCTGCGGCTCTATAAACAAAGAACCGGCTGGAGTCATCGATCCTCACGGATGTACTGCAGCCGATGACAGAATAAAGCTGCAGGATTCACTGTCTGCTGTGCCCACCGCGCTTCTGACCTCAATTCAGGCTACAGAGTGTCAACGTATCCAAGCAGATACCAGCACTATCCAAACTCTGCTGTTGAGCTTCTGAGAGCATTTTAATGCCAGAGACAATTAGGCAGATTAGTGTTTTCTCCTGTAGAGTAAAGCTCTGCACTACGATAACACGACAGCATGGCTCTGCTCAAAAACCTGGTGAGCTGCCTATGTAGGCGTCACACTGTAGGTGCACACTACATGAAGGCTGTTCCAAAAGGTAGGCAGCAAAATTATGCTGCCTTATTTTGATCACATTTTGGAGCAGCATCACATGTATTCATCCTGCAGAAGGCAATCCCATAATTATTGTGAATTCACACATGCTTGTCATTACTTGTACATAAACATACATAGACAGCCCATTTAGTGTGTAGCTCAATGGTGCAGGAGATGGGCTTTTGTTAAAAAAAATATAACAAAAACTACCCCGTGGTAGTGATGGGACGTTCGACACCGAGGCTTCGAAGCTTGTATAAAAAAAACGAAACATCTCCCAGTGAAGCACTGTACCGGAGCTTGATTCATTTTGCCAAAACCACATGATCCGTGATGACCAAAGCTTAGTTTTCACACACAACCACGTGACTGCTTCGTATTCTGATTCAAATAACGCAAACCACTTGTGCAGTTTCAGGTGTTACTCACTTCTTTGAAAAGAATAAATAATAATACAAATAAATATTTGCATGTGTAGTTTTGTGCATGTTCATTTTGTATTAATTCCTGGTTCAGACACTTTAACTGACCATTCTATGATAATCTTCGGTTATTTTGATCATAGGCTATATATGCTTACAGCCTTGCCTATTTTCCGCAAATTTATTCACAGACTCATGTATTCATATTGCGTAATACAATGACTGACATGAAGACTTATTTATATAGACTTCATATTTCCTTTGCTTTATACAGGTTTTCATAGCACAAACTAATTTATTATTTGAAACCGTCCAAAAATGGCTGGGTCGTCTGGGACGCAAAGGCAGCTTTTTCCACCTTTTGACCACAAGATGTTTTTAGTGTGCACCAACTTGAAAAGCTTCGCGTAATTAACCTTTTTACGATACAGTTGAAGGGAAAGCCTCGGTGCTTCGCAAAGCTTCATTTTCCCATCACTACCCCATGGGGAAAAACACAACTGGCAACAAGGCTTGGCAAGGCAGGGCAGGCCACAAGGCACACACTCAACATTCAACAACGAACTGCCCGCAACTGCAAACACAAAGAGAATAAATAGGGAGCAAATGAGGAGGGTAATGAAGGAAACACAGGTGGGGCAAATTAACCAATAATCAGGTAACAAGATGGGTTGGGTCAAGACAATTGACATGAGAGCACATGGCACACAGGAAACAAAGACCAAGTGCTCACACAAAACAAAAACACAAGCATATGGCCAGCAAAACAAAATCACCAGCCATGTGCAAAACAAGACATGAACACGCAGCTAATGAGAATACTCATAAGCCGCGTGTTCACACAAGACATCACAACAAGAAAGCATGCAGCCAATGAAAAACACAAGCTGCGTGCTACACAGCACAAGACCTAACATGAATGCACGCAGCTGATAAAAACATGAACTGCGTGCAACAACACAAGACACCAAAAAAAAACGCAGGCAGAAGAGCACACGGCCCGAGCAAACTCGAGGCCGCACGCTCCCACAACAAGACAGATCATGGAGCGCGAGACTCCGAAACCGAAACTCAACAAGACATGAGTGCAGGGAGGCTATATATGCTTACAGCCTTGCCTATTTTCCGCAAATTTATTCACAGACTCATGTATTCATATTGCGTAATACAATGACTGACATGAAGACTTATTTATATAGACTTCATATTTCCTTTGCTTTATACAGGTTTTCATAGCACAAACTAATTTATTATTTGAAACCGTCCAAAAATGGCTGGGTCGTCTGGGACGCAAAGGCAGCTTTTTCCACCTTTTGACCACAAGATGTTGTTAGTGTGCACCAACTTGAAAAGCTTCGAGTAATTAACCTTTTTACGATACAGTTGAAGGGAAAGCCTCGGTGCTTCGCAAAGCTTCATTTTCCCATCACTACCCCATGGGGAAAAACACAACTGGCAACAAGGCTTGGCAAGGCAGGGCAGGCCACAAGGCACACACTCAACATTCAACAACGAACTGCCCGCAACTGCAAACACAAAGAGAATAAATAGGGAGCAAATGAGGAGGGTAATGAAGGAAACACAGGTGGGGCAAATTAACCAATAATCAGGTAACAAGATGGGTTGGGTCAAGACAATTGACATGAGAGCACATGGCACACAGGAAACAAAGACCAAGTGCTCACACAAAACAAAAACACAAGCATATGGCCAGCAAAACAAAATCACCAGCCATGTGCAAAACAAGACATGAACACGCAGCTAATGAGAATACTCATAAGCCGCGTGTTCACACAAGACATCACAACAAGAAAGCATGCAGCCAATGAAAAACACAAGCTGCGTGCTACACAGCACAAGACCTAACATGAATGCACGCAGCTGATAAAAACATGAACTGCGTGCAACAACACAAGACACCAAAAAAAAACGCAGGCAGAAGAGCACACGGCCCGAGCAAACTCGAGGCCGCACGCTCCCACAACAAGACAGATCATGGAGCGCGAGACTCCGAAACCGAAACTCAACAAGACATGAGTGCCGGGATCCGAACACCATGCTCCAACATGAAACAATGAAACAAGACACGCAGACGAGAGCGCACGGCTCGAGCACTCTCGAAGCCACACGCTCACATGAAAACAATGACATGACGGGAGTGTCAGGGCTCTGTCACAAAACCATGAATAAACTAGACCGAAGTGACAGAACCCTGACGCTAGCATGATTTTATTTTATTTTTAAATTTGTTTAATTTTATTTTATATTTGTTTAATTTTATTTTATCATGTGACTGTATGAATCAAGAATTACTAAATCAAGTTGCATATTTAGTCTGCCATATGTAATAGGTATTGTCAGTGTTTCTTTTAATGAAATTCCCATTGATTAAAAATTCACAATTTTATTTTATTTTATTTTAAATTTGTTTGTATTTTATGATGTGACCGTATAAATCAAGAATTAGTAAATCAAGTTGCACATTTAGTCTGCCATATGTAATCGGTATTGTCAGTGTTTCTTTGAATTAAATTCCCAATAATTTTATTTTATTTTACTAACACACATTTAAAAATAAATTTAGTTTCTTTTTGAATATTTTGTTTCTTTATTAATTTATATAACTTTTTGTTTTTTTTATTTCACAAAACAAATTTGTGACAATTTGAATCAAAAATTAGTAAATCAAGTTAAACTTTTAGTCTGTAATATTTTATAGGTGCAGTCAGCATTTCTTCTAATTAAATTCCCATTGATTAATTTCACCCTGTTTATTTCATTTTATTCTATTCAATTCAAAACAACAATTTCCTTTTGAATATATTTATTTATTTATGAATTCATTTACATTACATACATACCATAACACATTGTTTTTTTCTCTCACACAGGTCATGCCTGCCTGATTCATTTAGGATGAGCTAAAATATTAAATATTTACAGAGAGCAGACGTGCTTGAGAATCCTGAAGTGTATGTGCTCATTAGGCTTTAAGGCATCAACGTCAAACTTTCCAAAATATGTCTCCTTTGCTCTCCTTGAATAGGAGTTTGGGAACCACTCTTGGTTTTGCAGAAGTCTGTCCTGCTACAGCTGTCTGTGTTTGTCTAATCTTACACTTAAAGAAAGATGAGAAAGTGGACTTGGAGAAAGAGGAATTTTACTTAGAGCAAATGAATCAGCAATGGAAAGCCAGTATTAGAAGCGCAGCAATTCCTAATTTATTTTATAGGAAAGTCTGCAATTCCTCCAGTTGTGTGTGAAGATGTTATGCACATCATTTCTCTAACATCCTACTGTCTCCCAGATCGAAAGCAAGTGCCTGTTTGCTGCATACTGACCCACGTAACCGCTACCTCATCCGTCTGCCGGCCAAACTTCCCGGGATGCACTACAGCGCTGACGAACAGTGCCAGATCCTCTTCGGCATCAACGCTACGTTCTGCACTGATATGGAGGTGTGTGTGTCTTTTAGCTGGGAATGCACTGATATCATACTGCACTCATGCACTACATGCTTCCATATCATAAACGGACACAATGCAGCATACATACACACAAATAAACACCGGCAACATGCAACTCAAACTTTCTGACCTAAACAAGATTATATATGTGGCAGAATCCTGTTGCAGTTGCTTTTGGTCCTGGGATCATTCCTATATGTAACTAGTTGAAGTATAAATGTATCCAGGCTACATTATGACTTAGTTTCTCATTGTTATGACTTAGTTTCTCATTATTATGACTTAGTTTCTCATTGTTATGACTTAGTTTCTCATTATTATGACTTAGTTTCTCATTGTTATGACTTAGTTTCTCATTATTATGACTTAGTTTTTCATTATTATGACTTAGTTTCTCATTGTTATGACTTAGTTTCTCATTATTATGACTTAGTTTCTCATTGTTATGACTTAGTTTCTCATTATTATGACTTAGTTTCTCATTGTTATGACTTAGTTTCTCATTATTATGACTTAGTTTTTCATTATTATGACTTAGTTTCTCATTGTTATGACTTAGTTTCTCATTATTATGACTTAGTTTCTCGTTATTATGACTTAGTTTCTCATTATTATGACTTAGTTTCTCATTATTATGACTTAGTTTCTCATTATTATGACTTAGTTTCTCATTATTATGACTTAGTTTCTCATTATTATGACTTACAGAATTATATTTTTTTATTTAGTGGCGGAAACGGGCTTCCATAAATATGTCCATTTTCAATTTGAAAAATTCATTTTGTCTTCATCATTTCATTTGATTTTTTAAAATTAGTTTTGACTTGATTTTAGTTTAGTTTAGTTTAGTTCAGTGTTATCTTGGCCCTAGGATCATTCCCATATGAAGCTAGTGGAAGTATAAAATTAACCAGGCTACATTTGTAGCAGGTGAATAACATAAAAGAGTATCTGCACTTAATCATAAATCATGTTTGTCCACGCAAAGCCTCAGATCTCTGGATATTTCCGTCTGGAAGTTTCAGTTCACAAGTTGCCAGAGTGAAAACATCAGAGCGGATGGCAGGTGCTGGCGTATCAGGTTTGATCTGATCAGTTCACAGTCAGTTCATGCTTTCCTGAGCGTGTAATCATCAGCTGTAACCGTTCAGATCATCGCTGCAAACATTTCCACTCGCTGCCCGTCCATCATAACTGTATACCATCTACACGTTGTGCAGTGCTACAGCAGATACCTAGATTCACATAAAACATGCGCGAAGAAGATGAATAGTCTGTTGCTTGCAGGCTGAGAGGAGCTGACATAAAAGAGACGTCTAAAACAAAGTGTAAATAAGGCAATTTAATGGCCGTCCTGCCACCTTTGAAATGTTTCTCTCTGTGAGACTGAAAAATGTGATTGAGCACAAGAAGTAAAGGAGCGTGTCTGGCTAAAGTAAAAATACGAACTTGTCAGACAGACACGGAAAATACAGTCCATCTCAAGGGCTGTTGGATAAAAAGGTCTCTTTGTTTGAGGAGAGGAAAGAAAAGGCTGTGGTTACATGAAATGTACAAGCTTATATATTTTTTTAATTTTGAGATAATAAAGAGATTTAATTTGTGCTTTTTCTGTATATTCTGTATAGTGTGTGTTTTTCAGTCAGGTATTGCATGTTTGGGTCATAAATACTCTTTTATAACCATAAAATTAAATAAGAATGAAACAAAAATTATCACATTGTTTTTATACTGTCCACATGAATGTAAACTGTCTGTGTTTTCAGCACCTGATGTGTGCTGGTCTCTGGTGTTTGGTGGAAGGAGACACGTCATGTAAAACGAAACTAGATCCACCGCTGGACGGCACTGAATGTGGAGCCGACAAGGTAACCATTTATGATTACAGTGTTATTAATCTTTAGCCATTAATATGTTTATAAGCAACTGAAAAAAGCACAAATGTCAGGGCATGTTAAAACTTCTCCAGGGCCCCAAAACATCCTCGGACCCCAAAGGGTTAATATTAAGGAAATTATACCTTTAATTTAAAAACAGCCAATACTATAGTTAAAATCATTTTGACTTGGCTGTGGAGCAGATCAAAATATCAGACTGAAAGTGCTACTGAAAGTTTCATTTACTATAATGACAGAAACCTGCTGATTTGTACAGGGTGTTAAAATAAAAAAAAATATGCAAATAAATTTAAGAAAAAATACTTTAGACTTATTATTTAAAATATTGTAATGATGTTCACTACCAATCAAAAGTTTTTGTATACTTTTAAAGGAAATTAATACTTTTATTTAGCAAGGACGCGTTAGATAAAAATCAGTTTCCATAAAAAATATGAAGGAACACAACTGTTTTCAACAGTTAACATTAAAATAAATTATTTCATACTTTCATTCAGCAGAGACCCATTAAATTTAACAAAACTGACAGTAAACACATTTATAATGCTACAAAAGATTACATTTTCATATAAATGTTGTTTTTTCTATTCATCAAAGAATCGTGAAAAATAAAATGTATCATGGTTTTCACAAAAATATGAAGCAGCACAACTGTTTTCAACATTGATAATAATCAGAAATGTTTCTTGAGCAGCAAATCTGCATATCAGAATGATTTATGAAGAATCGTGTGACACTGAAGACTGGAGTAATGATGCTGAAAATTCAGCTTTGATCACAGCAATAAATTACATTTTAACATGCTGTATATTCAAATAGAAAACTGTTATTTTAATTTCAATAATATTTCACAATATTACTGTTTTACTGAATGTTTGATCAAATAAATGCAGCCTTGGTGAACAGAAGATACTTCTTTTTTAAAAGCATTAAAAAAATGTAGTGTAAATCAATGGGGTTATCAACGTGGATTTCTTAAAACATAAAATTCATAATTGCAGCAGTTTAATAAATGAGGCTAGTGGCTGGGAACAAACCCTATAATGTTTGCAGGGTGTCAATACAGCAGCGCTGCCTGTAATCAACTTCATATGAAAGCAATATAAACCAGTGGTTTGTCTTCATTTAGCTGGATTAACACTTATGTGTGTGTCTTTATCAGTGGTGCAGGGCGGGTGAGTGTGTCAGTAAAACACCCATCCCGCAGCATGTGGATGGAGACTGGAGTCCATGGAGCACGTGGAGCATGTGCAGCCGAACATGTGGCACAGGAGCGTGCTTCAGACAGAGGAAATGTGACAACCCCCCGTAAGCCTTTAAATCTCTCACTTTCTCCCTCCATGTCTCCATAGTCAACTAGTCGTTCAGAAAAGTAGTCAGCAGGTCAGTGTTTAACTGATATCAATAACTCATCATTCGCCATCCAGTCTTACTTTCACTGATATAAGTGTCTGTTACTAACTAGTAGTCGTGCATCTCCTATTGTGAACAAACAAGCTGTAGTCTAGAGATGATCGGACTCGATGCAAGCGCAGTCACCATCCAAACCCACAATGCACCACAATAATCCTGTTTGTGTTTTGGCAGGAACAAGCTTTCCTCTCACTCTCCTGTGACGCCGTTTCTCTCCGAGTGTCATTTCTCAACTCCTGACAGCCCGCCAGAGAGCTTGTGTGTGTGTGTTTAAAACATGATGTAATAATTCAAAGTTCTCCGGTTATTTCTTTTTTTAAATTTAATTTTTTTTTTATTAGTTTAACCCATCCAAAGTGCACACACACAGCAGTGAACACACACACACCGTGAACACACACCCGGAGCAGTGGGCAGCCATTTATGCTGCGGGGAGCAGTTGGGCCTTCGGTGCCTTGCTCAAGGGCACCTCAGTCGGGGTATTGAAGGTGGGAGAGAGCGCTGTACATTCACTCCCCCCACCTACAATCCCTGCCGGTACAAGACTCGAACCCACAACCTTTGGGTTATGAGTCCGACTCTCTAACCATTAGGCCATGACTTCCCCATCCACGACTTTTCCAGCGCAGAACAGCGTGCAATTTGTGAGCGATGGTCTAAGGTGTGCGTTTTTGTTTTGGACGCTCGTAACGTCTGGTGCCGCGTTCTGGAGGTAATCGCTCTTTTGTGCGCGGCTCCACCGTGGATCGTAAAACACTTGGAGCTGCATCAAGTAAAAACGAAGAGCAAAAAGGAAGAAAAATAGGGCTGACATACAAGTCACGTTCTGTTTTTAAGTACAATAGTGGAAAAGGGGAAAGAAAGAGTGCGAGGAAGAAACTAGATTTGCATTTGCTGAAAAAAGTAGCAGTGCTTGCAAGAATAATGTTTAGGTTGTAGGTTTTGCATTCTTTATGTTTTAATTCAGAATGCAAACAAATGTAAGAAAGAAGGCCAATCACAATTTAATATGCAAATCTCTGATGAGGTCATCAGTGTCGGTTACATTTTGATTACTGAGTGTCAGTGTGATTTTGAATCTTTAATCTAGACAACATGAAGTCTGGTTCTGAACGGTTCCTCAGTGCATTTCAAAAACTTCTTCTGTAATCTTTCATCAAAATATTACTTTTCTTCTGACATCATTTTTGGAATGCTGGCTATTCGATTACGTTAATCAATAGCCAAATAGCTGTTTTGGCATAATTTTAGCAAACTTGCATTCAAGTCTGGCTTCATTCTGTTATGCAACACCACTTCTTGTGATCTAATCAATTCCTGATGTATTAAACCAAGTCCCTCCCTACATTTCTTAAAATTTAAATATCATGTTTCAGTCAGAGATGTATGACATCAGAGAAGTAATGAGATGTGAACAGTATTTTTCTTTGACTTAAATTTCCTTAAACGTTTACATAAAACAGAAATAAATTTAAGTTTGCACTGCCATTCAAAAGTTAAGTACATTTTTTTGTTTAAAATAAAAAAGAAATTAATACTTTTATTCAGCAGGGATGCGTTAAATTGATCAAAAGTGACATTAAAGGGGGTCGTATGATGCGATTTCAAGTTTTCCTTTCTCTTTGGAGTGTTACAAGCTGATTGTGCATAGATAAGATCCCTGAAGTTGCAAAGACTAAAGTCTCAAAACCAAAGAGATATTCTTTATCAAAGTTAAGACTCTGCCACGCCCCCCCCTAAAACGGCTCGTTCTAACACACCCCCACATATCTACCTCACTATGTGGAAATAGTTGCATAATGCCGCCCAAATGTGCACGCAAAGAAAGAAGGCGTGGTTTCAGTAACTGCAGTTAGTGTTGAAGCAGCCATGTCAGGGAGACGCTGTGTGTTTCTAGGCGAAAGCAAAAGCACTTTATTTGGCCTTCCGGAAGTAGATGCATTTAGGAATCTTTAAGATTACTTACAACAGAATAGCAATGCATTTTATGGACGACCGTTTCGTGAACCTAGGAGAAGAGGTAATTCTGACTTTGCTATGACAATCTGATGCTTCTGAATCAGCTACTGTTTTGTTATTAGTTTAAGTATTTGCTATTGACTATTCAAATGCGGAGTTTTGCGCATCGTGTGTGTGTGTGTGTGCGTGCGCGCGCGAGAGAGAGAGAGACGTTTGACATCTCTTTATTTATACAAAATTACTATTGTTTTTTTTGTTATTTTTCCTTTTTTTTTTTTTCTCAATTACCAACCATCATCACATAACATCAATTCTACACAAACATTTAATTACCTACCACCAAATTTAAACATTAAGAATGAGGTTTTCCTCATGATCCATAGTACACAACACATCACTTAAACCCCATGTTTCCATAAAACAAGCCAGATTTTTAGTCAGTTTAAAATACACAAATTCTGCTCTAATTCTTGAAGTCACAAAAGCTCTTAATATTATAACAGGGTCTACCAAAACTTCTTCATTTATCTTTTTTTCCCTTGTTACCCATATTGCCATTTTGGTTTCCGCTATTAAAAAATGAATTATACCAATTCTTCTCTTATCTGAAGCCTTATAATTCGGCCCAAAAATTAAAATATTATCACTGAACTCTTCACCTAGTTTTTCAATCCAGTTTTCTAATATCTGAAAAACACCTCTCAATCACGAACAAAATAAAAACAGGTGATCAACTGATTCCTCCAAATCACAAAAGGGACACTTCTTTTCTACAGTGGGATCGATATGTGCCACTTGTCTGTTTGTAGCTACTGCCCAATGTATAATTCTCCACTGTAACTCTGCAGTTCGTTTTTCAATGGGAGATTTATACAATGACCTCCAGCACCTTCTAGGAGAAGAGTTTGGCCCCAACACATCTGACCACTTTGTTTCTCTACATTCCCTCAGAATTGACTGGTGAGCAACTTTTACACAAGCCAAATATAATGTTTTCTTTGAAGCCTCTTTGAAACCATGTATCTCTGGAGTCCTAAAAGAGAGGATTGATTCCTCTTGTGGTTCTTCTTCCACCAAAGCCGAAACATTGAGTTCAGGAAAAAAATCCTTCTTTATCTCTTTCTCTTCTTCATTCAAATCCTCTTTTCTTAATTTTCGATGACGAGTAGGAGGAAAAAATGAAAAAATCTCATCCATTACGTGTTTCATGAATCTGACGGACTTGATTCCTGTCAGATCACACATTTCCTCTGGGCTTTACCACTCATCATAATGTTTTAAGTCCATTATCCTTGTGCATCCAACTCTTGACATTACTTTCTGAAGGCTTCTTGAATTAAGCACCTTTACTTGAAGTAAAGGATTATTAAAAAGAGGCTCTTTGTTTATCCAGGGCTCAGAAAAAGGCAGGTCTCTCTTCACTTGAAAAATTGAAGTCCATGTTCTCAGCATAGTTTTATAAAAAGCAGATGTTTCTTTTAAGTCCATTTCTGTTAAATTAATTAAAAACAAATGTAAATCATATTTAAAAACATCAACTTTGTGTAACAGGGTTTTAGCTGTTTCAGTCCAGCACCTATTCGAGTACAGCAACTTTTGTGCTGCCTGCAGCCTGAAAGTCTTGATTCTGCTATTAAGTAAGAAAAGAAAAGAACGGCAGCTTTAGTCCAGTGTTGTCCAGTCCAAAAAAAATCTTTACTAATCTTTACTCACTAATCTTTTTGTAATTCATGGACAATATCATCTGGTGGATCCAGGACATTCATTTTGTGCCACAGTGCCGAAGCTGCTAAATTATTTGTGACCAAAACTCTTCCTCTATAGGATAACTGTGGTAGCACCCATGACCACTTAGACAACCGGCTACACATCTTCTCCACCATTCCTTCCCAATTTTTCATCTTAAATGTTTCAGTCCCTAAATAAACCCCTAAACATTTCAGCCCCTTTTGACTCCACTTAACACCACCTGGGAGCTCTGGTGGATTTTCATTTACCTTTTGGCCACAATAAAAACCTTCACACTTTTCCCAATTCACTCTTGCAGTTGATGCATTTTCATAAATTTCCAATGTTTCTTTTAAACCAGACACATCTCTCTCATCCTTAATAAAAATGGTAACATCATCAGCATATGCAACAAACTTAATAGGTTTTTAAACAGAAACCCCCTGTAATGTTTTCTTTAACTTACAAAGTAAGGGTTCAATGGCCAATGAATACAACATCCCTGATAACGGGCATCCTTGTCTAATTCCTCTCAATACTGGAATAGGCCGACTGAGCCCACCCCCCCACTTTTAACATTGCAGTTGCATCATTATACAACATTTTAGTCCATGAAATGAAACTCTGACCAACCCCAAAAGCTTCAAGCGTTTTAAAAAAATAAAAATGACTAACTTTGTCAAACGTTTTTTCTTGATCGATTGCAAAAATGCCCAAATTTTCACCATTCAAACTTGCAATGTCTATTATGTCTCTTACAAGAAACAGATTGTCCATTATTGTTCTGTTGGGTATACAATATGTTTGATATTCATTGACCATACATTCTAAAAAGGGTTTCAATCTATTAGAAAGGCATTTTGCCAAAATTTTATAGTCAGTGCATAAAACAGCCACAGGTCTCCAATTTTTCAACAAACCAAGATCACCTTTTTTAGGTAACAAGGATAAAACCGCTCTTTTACAACTAGTAGGTAATTCATGTTGTTGATAGCAATAATTAAAGACGTCATATAAATCATCTTTCAAAAGGTTCCAAAATTGTTTATAAAACTCAGCCGGAAGTCCATCTATACCAGGTGCTTTTCCGGTTGAAAGTTTTTGAACAGCAGCAGACAGTTCTTTTAACTGGAGGCCAGAGTCAAGCCGTTTACTCTGTTCATCAGAGAGTTTCAGTAAGTCTTTATGTAACTCCTCAATGCATTCAA